CGTTTTGTATTGGTTGAAATGTATAGAAACCAGACTAGCAATCAGGGGTTTCTACGCATTTTAACCAATGAGAAACGTGCTGACTAGTTAGGGATTCTTCCAAGAACAGACCTTAAATATATTTTTAAATTTTTATCATACGAAATTTGCATAGAAAATGCTTAGACGACAATTTTTACCAATATGACACATAGCGAACTCAGTGTCACCAATACTCACTGGTCGAATATTCAACCGCTTACGTTAACTTTTCACGCCAATTCGACCAACGTATAGATATGGTTGATTAAATGGCAAAAGCGCGAATAGAAATAAGCCTAGCAAACAAATTGGGCGATAATACACTTCCACGCGACTGTTTACTTGGTTAAGTTAAATCTAGCTAAACCTATCAACGGTTAAATTATGATGATCTGCGAGTTAAGTCGGCAAAATGACTTAAATCAAAATAATTACCGCCAACTAAACAAATTAAATAACCAAACCAAATCAAGACTAAAATTCAATTTAAGTACATACCTATTTTTTAATGTTAATATAATTTTTCTTGTGTATAACCTATATTATTAACTTATTGTAGATACAAATGGGGACTAAAACCACAGGAAATAAATAAAACGGTTAATTTCCATAATATCTATAAACACAAAAATATATTATTAATAAAATTTAACCGATTTTGTAATGCTTTATATGTATCCACTACAGTTTAGATGTCATCGAAATGAAACATGTCTATTAAAAAGTGGCGATATGTTTTGATCACTATGTAATACGTCGATGACATAAGCTAAGGGCTGGGGGATTTTAAGGAACTCTTCAATATATTCGAAATCAATTCCTTTCGTTCGTCTTTCGGGCTACATAAACGGAGTCGAAGATTTACTTGAATTGTATTGAGTATTGTTATTTATTTGTTGTCTGGCTGCCGATGCCGCATAACAGTTCAAATAGAAATGCTGCTGTTGAATATTTATCATAAAAGAATATAAAAATTTGTTTTTTATAAAAATACTTAAATATTTTTAAGGACTTAAACCTTTTTCTGTTTCAGATTAAAGATTTAAATCACAAATATTTTTGAAAAATACTTAAATTCTAAGTCTTAAGTTAACTTCTGAAAAATTAGTTAACTTCCGAAAAAAGACTTTTCTGTTGTGGTTTTCTGTGAGCTTGCTTCTCTGTGTAGAAGTAAGGGAGACGAGAATACAATGGGTGGCCCCTTGGTGCCCCAAGGTTGAGACCAGTACAGGCTAGTCTTCTATCTAGCCCCGCATCCCTTCGACCTAGTCCGTGAATCATTGGATTTAGGTTTTTGGTGAGGTTGTCTCCTCTTGGTCCGGCCTGGTACGACAGACAGGGTAGTCCCATCCGGCATCGTTATACGTTTTGGTGCAATTCCCTGACCACGACACTACAGCCTTGGACAAGACAATGAGATGGTCCTTGTAGAATGAATGTAGAATGTTTAGGAGGGGAGTTAATCACCGCGACCTTACAGATCTATTGTATGTTGCTTCTACACAATAGTTAATGTGTATTGTGTAGAAGAGCCTTTAGTTGGTTTCCGCTTGGAAAATAGAGCGGTTTTGCTCCAGTTAGTGGAGTGTTTGCCCTTTTTCTAGCTAGATCATTTGCTTTTTCATTGCCTTCTAACCCAGTGTAGGAGGACTTTATTTTCTTTGCCTAATTGAGATGAATCCAGCTAAAGTAGTAGAGGAGATTCCTCCTAGCACCTGACTAGGAGCTTCCCCACCGACGACAAAGTCTCGCATCTCCCAGAGGAAGACTGTTGATGCTAACATGGTTATCGAATCATGCATCCAGCGAACAGAAACAAATCTTTTGGTGTATTGTAGTAGATTTTCGTAGATTTCTTTTACATTGTATTGAAACTCCTCAACCAGAGAAGAAATACGAGAAATCAAAATATAATTTGTTGAGTTTAAAATGACGGTAATTGAATATTATTCTGTTAAAGACAATATTTTCACTTCATTCCAGTATGATTAGGAAAAATACCACATACGTTTAGCATCCGTTCCCTAACCTAAATTCCGAAATCTATAACGGTTTCGTGCTATTTGCATATTTGAAAAATTGTTCGATATCGATTGGGAGAACTCCAGATAAGAGTCATGTCGATGTGGGCAGACCGTATTAAAACTGTACAATTCCGACAACACGATTAAAGGGTTTTTTGTATTTTTTTCTTTCGATTGCCTGACATTCTTAATTTGATTTCATTTTAGTTAACGTGGGCTAAAAATAGCACTGCCTGCAAATAATAGTAATACTATTTTTAACTCTTCAGATATGTCTCAGAACAATATAAAATTTATAAATATAATTTGCTTTGAAGTGCTATAGAATAGTTATTTGTGTAACTAGTGCAAAAAAGGATATACAAGATGGCCCATCGAAAACGTTCCGCAAGGCATAACGGCCAGGGTAAAAAACACGTCAATTTTGTTTGTGAGGGGGACAACATTTGCCCCAAAAATGATTGCAAAATATTCAACCCTCTAAGCGGGAGTGTCATCCCCCAACTTTTTTTAAATTGAAAGGGGGTTCAAGTGGCGCCGCAATGAAAAGAGCTTTCTATTCTCTACATTTCCCCGCTTCGTTTTTGAAAATCGGTCGAGTCATTGAGAAAATATGAAGGATTGAAATTTGAAAAGTTTATTTAAGCATTTATCAGAGTAAATGATAATTAAGGATAAATTCGACCAATTTGCTGTTTTTTCTTATTATTTCTAGATGTTTAAGCATTGTTTCACTTGCCACAACGTTGAACGATCAGGTGCGGCAGTTGCTAGATAGCTGTTCTGTGACTTATACGTTGAAGTTCTTCTCGATATCGTTAAACTGACCCACAATAGAATTTCCAAAAATACCAGCCCACACGTTCAATTTCTGAGGGTTTTGTGTGTGCACCTCGTGAAAAACCCAGGGGTTGTCCTCAGCCCAGTACCGACAGTTGTGCCGATTAACTACACCGTTCAAAAAGAAAGTACACTCATCCGAAAAACACACATTAAATAGGAAATTATTATCATTCGCCACTCGTTCACTCATAGTTTCACAAAATTGCAAGCAACGATCAAAATCGTCTTCGTTGAGTTTTTGTACCAACTGAATTTTGTACGGGTGGAACTTGTGTTTTTTTAATATCCTTTGGAAACTTTGGAAAAAAAAAATTTTTCTTGTACTCAGAATACTGTACATGGCAACTTGGCCCAATAGGAGTACTTGGCCCAATAGGAGTACCTCCATACATTTTGCATCATTTACACAGGATTTTTCCTCTGCCTCTTTTTATTCATAACGGAACCAGTTTCGCGAAATTTTGCTACTAACTGGCGAACAATTTTGCCATAAAGGTGTTTGTCAGGATGGCGTTCATTGAATATCTGCGCAACCCGATTGCAAACATCTAGAAATAATAAGAAAAACAGCAAATTGGTCGAAGGAATTTATCCTTATCATTTACTCTGATAAATGATTAAATAAACTTTTCAAATTTCAATCTTCTATTTTCCCAACGACTCGACCGATCTTCAAAAACAAAGGAGGAAAGTATAGAAAATAGAAAGCCCTTTTCATTGCGGTACCACTTGACCCCCCTTCCCATTTGAAAAAAATCGGGGGATGACACCCCGCTTAGAGGGTTGAAGATTTTGCAATAATTGTTGGGGCAAAAGTTGTCCCCCTCACAAACAAAATTGACGTATTTTTTACCCTGGCCGTTATGCCTTGCGGAACGTTTTCGATGGGCCACCCTGTATTTGTTGCACGACGTATGAGTTTTATTTGTAGCCATTTTTGTAGTTATTTTTGCATCATTATATGATGATTCTGGATGAATGACATTGATGACCCTGAACTACCATTCTTCAAGTTGCTTTTGGGTTTTATTCATTTTAAACATTTTTATTCATTTTGTCCTTTACTCCTACGTGGAGCATACGGCTTCAATAAACGCTCTCCAGCGGGTTCGGTTGTTGGCAATTGATTTGACATCTTGCCATGACCGGTTGACTTCTTTGATCCCCTCACCTCCTTCTCCAATTCACCTCCATTTCCTAAGTGCGATCTCGTTATATACCTGCCTCTGGTTGGTCAAGCTCCGTAAATCCCCATTACTGATAGTATTTGGTCAGAATATTCCTACAATTGTTCGCAGACAGCGGTTTATGAAAACTTGGAGTTTGTTAATTAATGGCAATGTAATGTTCCAGGTCTCTGCACCATACAGCAAAACTGACTTGACATTCGAATTGAAAATCTTGAGTTTAGTAAATTGAGAGTACTGTCTAGATCTCCAAATATTGTTGAGCATTCCAAATTTTATTCTGGCCTTGTTTATTCTATTTATAATATCTTGCTCTGTGCCTCCGTTCGTTGAGGTTATACTTCCTAAGTAAGTAAAATTATTTACCTCCTCTATAGGTGTTGTTCCAATTATAAAGGGAGTGACGTTGTTGGTACAAGCTCTAATCGATTTAGTTTTTTTTTAATATTGATTTTGAGACATGCATTTCGAGCTTCCTTTGTCAAGTCAAGTAGTTTTGCTGCCATATCCGCGTGACTATGAAAAAGGAGACAGATGTCATCTGCATAACTGAGACCCTCTAACATGCCAAAGGGAGTCCAACATATTCCACGATGATTCTTGGAAATTGTTCTCTTTAAAATATCGTCTAAGAGGATATTAAAAAAAAACGGCGACAGGACGCAACCCTGCCTCACCCCATTCCCAATTTTGATGGATTCACTCCGTTGACCCTTAACCCTTATGCAAGACTGCACATTGAGCCTAACAATAGAGCGCCTTTCTGATTCTTACAATTTTGTTAGGAATACCAGCTCTGCTGAGGGCTGGCCAAAGAGATTGGTGCTTTAAGCTATCAAATAGATCACATCATAAAAAAAATAGTCTTAAAGAAAGGGTATTATTAAGTTTTGTTTTTGTCTAACATAGCTGTCTTGTTTTTCAGATGTGAGTTATACACTTATAACAAGATTTTTATTATGGAAAAATACGAACAAATTTCTATGGTTGGAGAAGGATCTTACGGGTTGGTGATGAAATGCAGGCACAAGGAGACGGATCAGATAGTCGCTGTAAAAAAGTTTCTGGAAACCGAAGAAGATGCAACTATCCGAAAATTAGCTCTTAGAGAGATACGAATGTTAAAAGTAAGATTTGAAATTGTTTACATTGTCTGGCAGTTTTTACTGGCTAAATTCCGAATAGTTTTTGGCAAATATTCTATCCCTAAATTAGTTTACATCATTTGCATAATGTTGTAAATGAGCTAGATATAATTTCAGAGCTTTACTAACTTGATTCTTGTTGAGCCATTGTTTTGCTTAGCCGTCAGCGCTGTTGATCTAGTATTGCAGATATTTTTGACTATATTACCTGTATTTATTAATTGATTTAAATGATGATTCTCTTTAGAGACTGAAGCACGAAAATCTAGTAACCATGATAGAAGTATTTCGACATAGAAAAAGGTTCTATATCGTTTTTGAATTCCTGGAGGGAACTGTACTGGATGAACTAGAAAAAATGCCTGGTGGACTAGGAGATGACAGAACTAGGGAAAGAATATTTCAAGTTTGTAGAGCCATAGCTTACTGTCACAGCAATAACGTAAATCAAAGCTTATTTTGTTTAAAAGTGCAATATTAAATGTTACATTTTGTAGATTATACATAGAGATGTCAAGCCTGAAAATGTACTAGTGTCTTCTTTAGGTGTAGTAAAACTGTGTGATTTCGGATTTGCCAGGGTTCTTAGTCTTAATGGTGAAGCTTGTACTGAATATGTAGCCACCAGGTATGTTATATTGTAGATTGTAATTACCCCTCCCCGGAATAAATTTATAAATAGTTATGATTTGTACCAAGATTTAGATAATCTGTGTTTTATTTTAGGTGGTACAGAGCACCAGAATTACTAGTTGGCGAACCAATATATGGAGCACCTGTCGACATATGGGCTATAGGATGCCTTTTTGCCGAAATGATGACAGGAGATCCACTGTTTCCTGGTGAAAGTGATATAGATCAACTATATTTAATAGTAAAAATGCTAGGTACATCTTTAATCAACTTATTTTATCTCCATTTTATTTTTATATTTTGTTTTGCAGGTAGACCTTGTCTAAGGCATCAGCATCTAATGTCGAAAAATAGCCAATTGCGACCAATAATAAAGACACCTTCTCAGGACACTGTAGGTTTTTACAAGCTTTTTCAAACGTGGCCTTTGATAGCTATAGATTTCTTGAATGGATGCACCAAGATGGATCCTCAGGAACGATTAACAGCAGAAGAAATGTTGAAGCATGTGTTTTTTACGCATGATAAATTTCCACAAAGGTAAATAGAAATAATTGTATTAGGTTATTTATAGTCTATCCAATGAGAAGAATATAATATGACAGTGAAGAACAGTCTTGTTAAAAGTTGCAATTTTAAGTCATTTTACGAAGTAATTTTATTCACTATTATTCATTCTCATTTTCACATATTTAATATCACATAAGCCCATTATTTAAACAAGCTTGGGTACATTATAAGCAATTAAATCTTTTTACAAATTAGATAAAAAACGTTTTATTATCGGTCTATACCATATCTATACAGCAGTGACAGATTTGAAGGTAAACAGGAATTAAAACACAAAAGACTGATAAAAATATAATTGTTTGATTTGTTTTATATCATTTTGTGTTTAATTAATTTAAAATTGCAAATCTCAATGACTAATTCTGAAGAACGTATAAAAAATAAAACCAAAAATGGCATCCGAGTTGGCTTGGAAATAAAGATTGCAGTACATGTAAAACTATAAGGTTAATATCATCAATCTTTATTTCAAAGTGAAGATGATGCTGTTTTTCGTTCACATAATATTTTCAGTAATAGTAAATTTGACAAAATAATAGTTTTTTAAAATAAATAACTTTCTCCTGAAAAGCTCCGAAAGAAGCGAACCAGTATTTATCAGAAGACAGACGTCCATTAAAATATGGAACTTAAAGCGATCTTATATATCTATTGTTTCTCTCTTTTTTGAGTTATAACTCATCATACAGTCTTAGTGCTTTGAAAAGAGCCTGCATCTAAAGGTGCGTCCAGATCTGACGAGACGAGAGCGAGATGAGAGCGAGGCAAGTGCGAGACAAGAGCGAGACAAGCGCAAGACGAAAGCGAGACGAGAGCGAGACACCTTCTGTCCATTTTTTGAGGAAACGAGGCAAGCGAGTTGGATCATAGTGAAAGGAACCCAAACACGCATTAAATTGTAAATGAATATAACAAACGATGGCCAAATAATAACGCATACAGTAATGAATGTTTGTATCTTTAACATGGTATTTGGTTCGTCGTATTTTATTATCGTCGGTTTCTTTCCTTTTGGTTGTGTTCCCTTTTAACCCTTCATTTGTTTCGAGGCACGACTTCTTTTACAAAATACGTTTTTTAACGTTTTTTTTAGAACAAAATGTTAAATAGAAATGTTACAGGGAAGGTTAAGAAGCACATTTTAAAATTACTGTAGAGTATACTGGCTACTTCAAAAAAGTGTTACGGATAAAACATATATTTTTTAACGGGAATACCCTATTGTTTATTTTATTATTAGATTCTACGTACAATTCGGTAACTTTTTTGCATATGATATTTTATATCTAAAATTTATAGATTTTCTAATAATTCAATTTTTTTAAATAAATGTTAGATTTCGGTCCAGTAAAAATTATCAGTGATGCAAAATTCATAAATTCTATCAGAAAAAATGATAAAACATACGATGTACCATTTAAAAAATTTGAGATTATTTAATTTTAAATAGTCGAAATTTATAATATCTCGCAGTCGAGCGAGCCCACCAAAAAGTCCGGACTGTGCCTAACCACAAACCTAACCGACAGAGAACGGGGCATAGCAACGAGGCTCCGTGGTTGTCTCGCCAGGCTCCCACGAGACCCGACCATACTAGGTAATTTGGAATGTCTCGCGCTCGTCTCGCTTTCGTTTAGTCAGGTCTGGACGCACCTTAAGACGGTTTTACAGATGTTAGATCTCCATTTTTGATATGAGTCGTACCAAAGTTTGCACTGATAGTTGTTGGTCTAGTATTGCAGATATTTTTGACTATATTACCTGTATTTATTAATTGATTTAAATGATGAGTCTCTTTAGAGACTGAAGCACGAAAATCTAGTAAGCATGATAGAAGTATTTCGACATAGAAAAAGGTTCTATATCGTTTTTGAATTCCTGTACTGGATGAACTAGAAAAAATGCCTGGTAGACTAGGAGATGACAGAACTAGGGAAAGGATATGAGTCGTACCAAAGTTTGCACTGATAGTTGTCGTCTCGTCACACTCAGTGATGAAGTGTTCTGGTGTTTCCCCATTTCCCCACATAATCTGCATTCACTGCTGTTTCTTAGCTTTAATCTACTGAGGTGTTCATTGAGGAGACAGTGTCCTGTTAAAACCCCTGAACGATCAGTAAACTATTCTTACTTAAATCAAGGACAATCTTTGATTTTTCTCGGTCCTAGGTTCTGAGAAATTTCTTCGAGTGTCTTAGACAGTTGAAAGATTCCCATATTCCACGTTACGGATGGGGTTTTTCAGGTCCTTGGGTTTCGCTTTAAGTTGGTTTCCACTTTTTTTTAATCAAAACGGTTCTGGTCGTCGTTCCTTTTCTAGATATCGTTTACTTTTTCAAATATAGAGTTAACAGATCACAATTTCAAAAACATCTTTATTTTTTAACATCAATCCTTTTTAAACTTTTAAAATTATTTACTTAAATGATTATTTAAAATGTCTTCTGAAGTATCTATATCTCCTGTTATTTTTTAGATTTTTACCCGCCTTAAGGGAGAAAGTCAACATAGAATTCAGCGCACCCCTTTTAAGAAAACTAAAATCCGAAGTCCTACTTTCGACAGATAAAAAAGAAGAAAAAAATCGAAAAATTACAAACGAAAGGTGGAAATTTTCTCTTCCTGAAGGTAAGCGAAAGTAAAGATTATTTTGATATCATTATTATTTATAGAAACTATGATAATAATGGGTGTAATTCATTTTTTTTTAGGATCAATGAAAAGAAAATTGGGTTACGAACCCAGCGAGCAATGGGCGGATAAGAATCTCATTACATTGGCAAAGACCAGTCAAAGATTGAACGTTATAAATAGTTCTAGTAATAGCAACAGTAATAGTAACAGCACGAAAAATCCTCATCAGCACCAGGCAAGTAGCAAATAAATAGTCTCTTATTCTTTAAATAGAATTTGTCTTGGTAACATTACTTGGTAAAACACAAGACGTATTAATCTGGTAATGCAGCTTTCGAAATTTACATCAGATGTTCATACTATTAAAATTTTCCTTTAAATTATTCTTCAAGTTTTGACATAATATCTTCAGTAATTCTTCAATCATCACCTGTCCTCTAAAGCGACGTTCTCAGAATTACGTTGTGTTGCTGACGACACTTCAAGAAACCAATGAGAGTTGTACTATATTCAAATTTATACAATTATTGAATTTTGTACAAGTTTCATTGTATCTTTGGCGATAATATTCTTAAATTAAGCTGTTGTCAAAGACCAAAATAGTCTGCATGCTAGTGTTATTGGTCTATTTGAGTTGCAACCTCTGGTATTAAAACAGACGATTCTCGAACAATTCTGATTGACAGTTGAAGTCTGGATGCGTGTCATTTAGTTTAGTTTCCTGCTAATACCAATGTAGTTTGCAAAACATATATCCAGTAAAGTATATTGTGGCAATGTTTGGAAAAATTATATTCTCCATTGATTATAATAAAATTATAATGCTCTTATCCACTAGAGAGTAAAAGGGTCACTCCTTTAACGCCTGTTCCAATTGTACTATACAGGGTGACAATTTGAAAACGAACAGTATTTAATATTGCCTTTACCGATGATAGTATGAAAATTTGGCAAAACACGCCAATTTACATATCTTTTTCTTCTTTCTCAGCCTGGTTCCATCCAGTGTTGGATATAGGCCTCTTCTAGGTTTTTCCATGCTTCGCGATCTCTAGCCAATCTTGTCTATTGTCTTCCCGCCACTGCCCTGACGTCATGGACCCATCTCTTTTTTGGTCTGCCCACACTTCTTGTTGTTCCCCTAAGTCTCCATAGGATTAGGAATTTACATATCAAGGGGGACAATTTTTAAGGCATTTGTTGTCGTGTTACTTTCAACCCCTTGACTCCCAGGGCACCTACCCCTAAAATTTTAAATAGCAACCCCTATTTCTTTTTCCATTTTTGTGTTTCTTATAGATTAATACTACATAAACTGCATTATTTTTTTGAGAATTTTATTCTGAGATAATTTTTTATTTTGAGAAATGGTAAAAGAAATAGGGGTTGCCATTTAAAATTTTAGGGGTAGGTGCCGTGGGGTCAAAAGGTTGAAAGTGACACGGCAACAAATGCCTCAAAAATTGTCCTCCTTAATATGTAAATTGACGTATTTCGCCAAATTCGGTAGTATTTCTTTTTTATTTTTATCATCGGTAGAGGTAATATTAAATACTGTTCGTTTTCAAATTGTCACCCTGTATAGTGATCCTCTGCAATTAATTTACTCAACATCGATATTTTTTAGGTACTAACCAAGCAGACATCTTTACAGGCCAAACATTATTCGACTAGTAAGTCACAGATCAAACTGCAACACGATATGCAAATTCTAGAAAAATCGTTAGAACATTTAGTGAGAATAAATAAAAATGAGAATGAACATACGCCCAGCTCAGATCATCAGAAGGAATTGGAGGTAAATCAAAAACACGTAGGTTGCCTTTTAAGTTTTTCCAAAAAGAAGAACGAAGAAGTTCAAAACAAAGTGTTTTATTGCTTTTCGTAATATTTGCTCTTAAGGTCTATACATTTTTGCGTACGCTCAAACAAATTCTGGCAACATTTTTTTCACTCCGAAGCTCATATCGTAGAGACATGGTTTTGAAAGTCTTCAACAGCTTCTCGAGATGATGAAAATCGCTGTCCGCGCATGTTTTGTTTGGCAGTGGGGAACAAGAAAAAGTCATTAGGCGATAAATCGGGTGAATACGGGCAATGAGACATTAATTCGTTGTTTTTCTCCTTCAAATATTCAGTTGTTTGACGTGCTTTATGGGAGCTGGCATTGTCGTGACGACGAATGGTGCGACGTTTTTTGTTCTTTTTCCTTATTTTATCGAAAACCGTTAACAAACAAATGGCTGTATACCATTCAGCATTAACAGTTCTTCGATCCTCTAATACTCTAATGGAATGGTTGCGACGTGTCCAGTACAACCGAGGAAACAAAGCCTAATCGTCTTTGGCTTAGCTGTAACCCTGTCTGTTTCTCCAGTGGGTGATCTGCCTCTTCTTGGTCCTCTCCAACTAGGCCAACTGGCTCTAGACCAACTATTAAAGATTGCTTAGTTAAAATTTTTTTACTTTGTCGATACAAATAAATATATTTATTTCTTCTTTCGATAATATTAATAATGAGCTTATATATTTATTTTTAGCAAACCCAAACTCAAAGCCAATCGCCAATATATCAAACATTCCATTTTGGTTTAGGTGATAATAACAAATCACCAAATAATAACGTACTACATCCTAGTATAAACAATATAAGTTTCAATAAGGAACAGCCAAAGAAATCACCTAACGCATTACATCATATGAACGCTTCCTCAAAGATCAATCAGGTATTTTAAACTTATTTTATAAGTTCAATACAAATATCGACGTATTACTCTACTATCAAATTAATCTATTGGAGAAAAGAAATCGCTTCATTTGTTGGACAGTCTTTATTTCATCCTTATAACTAACAAGATCATTTGACTTCATCTTTAATAGGTACCACTTTTGTCACACCACAGAGCCCATTACATGAAGAAACTAGACAGAAATGTCGTGGTGGAAAATATATTTGGACAAGGAGACCACGCAAACATTGGACTAAACAGCGTCACTCCGCATTGGTTCAATAATTTGACTTCCAATAATAACAATATTAAGAAAAAGGATATCAATAAGTCGAAAATTGATGATTTCACATTGCCAAACCTACCTGGAGGTAGTATATCCTTAAAAAGTTAATTTTTCAAAAAGATAACTTCTTTTTATATTGCAGCCACTATCTCACCTAATAAAACGAAAAAGAAGAACAGTATTCCTGAACTAGAACTTCCAATATCTACTGAAGTTTCACCGGTAACTATCTATATCTAGTTATATTGAATTAATTGCATGATAGAAATATTTTTTTCATATTTAGGCATGATTTAATATAAAATATCGAAGTTAAGCCTTGACTGAAATAAACTGAAATATATGTTTACGATATTTTCTAAAGCTTCATTCAGAACCTCGAAATCAGTGGAATACATTAGTAGTTTCAATTAGCCGTAGAAGTTTGTTCACCTAAATTTAATGTAGCCTAACCTAACAGAACATCATAATTAGTAAGTAGTAATTTTCAATTAGTGGAAAAAGTTAACAAACTTTTGACTTTTCCACTAATTATACTTCAAAATTTGCGAGGAATGTCATTTTGGCCTTTGATTATCACCCGTCAAGAAAATTTTTTGTTAGAAATCAAAAGTTTATTGTTTTATAAGCTAAATACACACACTGGAAAAATCTAGGGATATCATTTTATTAAAGTTAAAAATAAATGTTTTGAATAAACAACCACATATTTGTAGGCCGATTCTTTCTACTTCGATTGAAACGAAGTAGTCACACTAGTTATTTCTAAATTTGGGATATTTGCAGAAGTGTTTGTGCATTTTTTGTCAAATATATAAAAAAGCACCTAGCATCAATTGTTCGAATTTAACCTCTACTGGCTATGTTTTTATGATAACTGGCCAGAATTTATTCAAATAACTCTGTTTAGTATTAAACGACATTATGGAGCGTAGACATCTTAACAGAGACGAAATGCTAAGGGCTATGGGTATACTCGAAGCTGGAATGCGCCAAATCGACGTAGCTAGAGCATTAAATACACCGCAAAGTGTAATATCGCGATTAAGTGCACGCTACCGTGAAAGTGGTGATGTTGCTGAAAGGCACACAGGGTGACATCGCATTACTACCCCTCAGCAAGATCATTTTTTACAATTAAATGCTCGACGCCGACCGACTCTTACAGCACCAGAGCTTAGTTTAATTCTCCAGGAAACACATAATGTAACCGTTAGTCCTGACACTGTTCGCAATAGATTAAGAGAGGTCAACTTAAGAAGCAGACGCCCTGGAGAGCTCAACCCTTAAACGAGAGGAAATCGAGAGGTACGATATTTGTGGGCTCAAGAACATGTTCAGTGGTCGAATGAACAATGGACCAATGTTCTCTTCACGGATGAGTCACGCTTTGGAATTCATCCGGATTCGAGAAGGCTTAGGGTATGAAGAGAACCGGGAAATCTTATTCGGTTGGATCATGTTCAGGAAGTGCACCCTTATCAAGGTGGAACAGTTATGGTCTGGGGAGGAGTCCAGTTAGGCCGAAAATCCGATCTCGTTTTTCTTGAAAGGTTTCCAACAGGAATCACATATCGTGATTTAATTCTTGAGCCTGTCGTGTTACCATATGCCAATGATTTTGGGAGAAACTTCATTCTCATGGATGACAATGCACGGCCTCATACAGCCAGAGTGGTAAGTGAGTTTATCAATGCTCATCAATTAAACATCTTACCCTGGTCGGCACAATCTCCAGACCTCAACCCCATCGGGCACGTATGAGACGTGGTCCAAAGAAGAATTTTGAGAATGGATATGCCTCGTGAAACTCGTAGGGATCTGGTTCGGGCCGTGAATGCAGCGTGGCAAGCTGTACCTCAAGAAGAGATCGACAACCTGATCAGGAGCATGGAGAGACGATGTAGGGCTGTAATGAACAGTAGAGAAGGCTATACCCTTTATTAAGTTAAAATGGTTTTATCTTTTTTTGTTAATTCACAGTTTAGAATAAAAAAAAAAGTGTGTGTATTTTTGAGTTCAATAAAAATCAAGGTAAATTTGAAAAATTCGGTAAATTTCGCATTTTTATTTCCAATACGTCCTGTAAACTATTTGTTTATTTTAATTTTATTATATCAGAAATGCAAATAATAAAATTACTGACGATGGCTGGATAAAATTGTAATATCCCTAGACTTTTCCGGTGTGTGTATTATGCTTTCTGTATGGATACAATAGACTAACGCAAGCTGTTGCTAGGATATTTTATTAATTTTAATTGTTTTTTAGACATTGTGAATGATCGTAAAATGATCGTAAACTAAAAAGTATAAGCAGCATATATAAGCAGCAAGTATAAGTGTAATTGAAACCACTAATTTATTCCACTAATTGGGAGGTTCTGAATGAAGCTTAATTCTTTAAGCTTGATTTCCATGCATCCGTTATCCGACGATACGTTGATACGATATTAATTTTATTGGTAGAATTTAAAGACTTTCATTGGTTAGAAAATAACGCAGTTTTTAAATTTATTGCATTTTCATGCCTCCGTTTATCGGATATACGTTGGTGTCATTTTATATTTTCGTTTCCATAAAGAGTTTGCTATTTTACTTATATTTTTATTAAGGTTAGATCAAATTTGTCAAAAAAATGTCAAAACGTCCGTCATCGTATGAACGGGTCCGTTGACGGGCTGAAGTAAAATATTTACAGATGAAAAGTGGCGCTAAAATGCTATGACCAATCAGAGCACCGTCGGACCATCGTATCGACGTATAACGGATGCATGAAAATCAAGCTTTACACGTAGAATGATTGAAAAGTACTTATAAATAAAGATATTTATATAGTTTTAGAATAAAAATTTGTTATTTTTATGTATTCATCATTTTCTTTTAAGCATTTTTTTCTTATTACATTTCTATAATTTATTTGTTGTAGATTAGTACATTTTTTGATCTGTACCTCTTTGTTACGTTATTCTTTTTCTTTATTTCAGAGAATACCTTCAACAGCTTCACAAAACTCGCCTATCATTTAAAAACATCCTACCAATTACCAATAGACACTAAAGCTTTTGTAAATACCAAGCTACATACATATAACAGGGTGACACACACCAACAAAAAAATCTACTGATTGGATCTGACCTTAATTTTATATTCCTTGATTTATTATCTCTATATATTCAATTTGTAATATCTTTTTTTTTTTCTTTGTGATGCTGCTATTATTCCCAATTGAACTAAAGTATAATTATTTTAATTTTTAAAAATATCCATGTAAGATATCGAGCTGTCTAATGAGCCAGGGTGTAGATTTCGACTTTAGATACCCAAAAATGACAGAAAATCTAATTTTCTTGTGAATTAAAGTGACAGATAACAAATGTCATTGTTGACAGACTTTGTTGATCACGAATGTATCAATATTAAAATAGTGTATTGAATTGCAGTTCAAATTCAGTTTGTTGATTTTCCTGTTAGTATGTCATCACCTATTAATCGACTGCAATAGTGAAACTCTATACTAATTACCGTAATAGTTGTAAAAGTTCTTTTAATTTTTTCATTTATAGGCTTATAGGTATAAAAAAGCCAAAAGAAAACGAAATACTCTTGACATAAGTTTACCCTTGCATGTTAGAGAAAAATCCAGATTGTCCTAGAACCAAAAAAATGTATAAAAAACGGTCTAGTCAACATTTATATTGTATATTTTTATGTATTATTTTGTAAATACAGTATAATATTTAAAAACGTGTTTTATTTTAAACTTATAGGGGAATTTCGCTTAAAATGACATATGCGGGTAAAATGACATACTGCCCAAATTCAAATTTCCCGCGATACTACTAGTGTTCTATCTCTACTTCTTCCTCACATGTGCGTCACGTGACACATTTAATACGGGATGTCAATCAGTTGGCTTGTAGCTTTTAGACGAGTATATGTGTTTTGAGTCAGAAGCAGTTTTTAGTACGAGTTTCGTTTTTCATATTTTCAAGTTAATCGTAATTTTTTTGGAAGTTATTATTACAAGGCAGGTAAGTTCCATCCGTTATCTTGAATTTCCAATGCTAATGAATCTAATAATTATATTTTGTGAAAAGTTAGAACAATTAAATGCTGCCAATGAATTTATGGGTAATATGACATAGGGCTTATCAGTTTAAAATGACATAGTATGTCATTTTAAACTTAATTCTTAATAAATAATTCTTTTAATTCTTCTGATGTCACGAACCTGGTCTTAGAAGAACCATCAGATCAAACTGATCTCACTGAACCTGGATGTTCAGGTTTGCAAAATCAAATTGAAAAGCATCCATTAGAAATGGATACTTTTCAACAATAGACAAACTCAGAACAAGAAACAGAATACCAGATAGTAAGGCTAGAAGAGATAAAGCCCACTCCAAAAGCCGTGGAAATAAAAAACAAAAGAAAGAGAAGCAGTCAAGATCCGTTGGTTTTTACTTCAACACCAAATTTAGATGAATTAAAAGAGAAGACAGAAAAACAAAAAATACCGATGAACAAATTTAGGTCTAAGAGACAAAACGTGTCGCTCGATATAATGAATCGTTTTTCCGATTCCACTACTAGCGACGACAACGATGAGGTTGCTTGCATCTACTGCAATGACCTTTATTTGCGATCCAAACCTATGGAAATGTGGGTAAAATGCCAGTCATGCATGAAATGGTCTCACATTGAATGCGCCGGAATAGATCCAAAAGCTAAGATGTTTACTTGTGATATATGTGTTTGATCTTCAACATAATAGTCGATGTATGTGATAAAAATGAGTTTATTTTTGCAGTGTTTATTCCTATGTCATTTTATCCGACTACATGTGCCTAAAATGACATAGAGTATATTAGGTTAAGATTATTAATTTAAATATGTTTGTATTTGTTTAAGTCAGTAACTGTTCCTAAACTAACTTGATAAATGATCCTATGTTATTTGTTCCTATTCTGGTTGTTGTCGTTTGTAAAATAAAAAAGTTATAGAGTTTATGCTAAAAAGTATGTCATTTTAGGCGAAATTCCCCTACTAAACAGTTCAGGAGGCAGTGAATTTATGTATTTACAGTTCATATGAAATAAACTTTTAGTCACGTGATTAAGCTTGACCGGCACAGCTTGCCCACTTTTATATATTTTCTATTAATTAAAATATTTAAGAACCAAAAATAAATAAATTATAAATATAGAAACAGTTTTTATTCACATCAACAAAATTGGCCTTCTTAAAACAGCATTTAAGGGACATAAAGGGCTATTACTACCGCTTTCCCGTTCAATGAGTTTTTTACGGCTATTAAGCTATCTTGTACACATAGCACTAAAAGAGGTTCTATAAAGAACAATGTTCGACTGCAAGGTCTGCTAGTAACCATTTTCAAGCTTGAAGTATCATAACACTATTTTTTTAAACCAAAAACCCGTAATATACAAAACTAAAATGTCAAAACGAATGACAATGTCAGAAAATAAATAAATATTTGATAATTGAATCCCCAGCGCGAAATTTAAATTCCAGTTAGTCAGCACGGCGCCGAATATGTTCACGGTTAGCAACAATGAATTTAAAAATCGCGCCCTCGACTACGTAATTAAAAGTTTAATTGATTCAAATATATTTTCCCAGTTGGTCAGTGGCGGACTAAGCCTGTCGGGGGCCCGGGGCGGTGAAGCTAAATATGGCCCCCGGTCTGTTCAGATAATGATATACTTCTAATGCACATTTTGTAAAAATTGAATGACGTATGTATTGTATAATGGTTGACAAAATTTAAGTATTTATACAGGGTGCCCCAGGCTGAGTCTGCATCAGAAGTTTTTAGAGAACTACAATATCTAGATCCGAGATTTTGTACATATCATTGTTTCACAGCGAGATCTATCGATTAAAAATATTTTCAATATGGCGGCACTTTCGGATGTACCGGAAGTTGACAGCAACTTTCTTATTTTAAATGGGTTAAAATATGTATGGTCAATTTTTTATTACATACTTAAATTCTCTGTAAAATTTTATTAATTTTGATATTAAACACTCTATACCTAACGTTAACCGTTTTTGAGAAAAAAAAATATTTAGGTATCATTTTTGGAGGAAAAAAATTGCCTGTCAAAAATCTGTATACCTTATAGCCTAAACGTCAAATTTAGTGATTGCCACAGCCACTGTTCTGAAGAGAAGACGTGGCTATCTATGTCAAAAATTAAATTGTCCGGATGTCATATAATAATGGCCGCAGCTGTCATGGAATTGAGCGAATAAAAAATTATCATAAATCATTTTCTTTCAAATGGAAATCCACTTTTTTATTTCACTCGTGACAACGCTTTAGTTACTGCCGTCTTTAAAATTTGTTACTTTTTGACTATACATGTTCCTGTACCTAAAATAACTCGTTAAAGTTATTTAGATTTAGTTTTAAAGCGTATATTTTTCTTGATTTTAACCAGTAGCCTATGACAGTATATTATCGATCATTTCCAAGCTAACTTGGACGCTGTTTTTTTTTTCGATCATACGGTATATTATTAAAATATCAACTATTGCAACCTTCGATCTAGATGTTGTGGTTCTCTAAAAACTTCTAATGCACGCTCAGCCTGTGATACTCTGTATATTGTAATAATTATAATAAAAATCGATATATTATGTAGATATAAATATGTTACTCATCAGCAGTGCCGTCTTTACATAAGGACCTGATGGGCCCTGGCCCCAGGAGTATTAAGGGCCCCAGCTCTAAAAAGGCTGCAGAAAACGATAACATCATTTTTTTAAAGCTTATAATAATATTTTTAAATCGAAAAACGAATGCAATTTGATATAATAACAAAGTGCACAAGTAAGTGCAAAAGTAAAGTTTAGTTTAAGTCAAGTAAACTTTAGCACAAGTAAGTGCAAAAGTAAAGTGTTTTGGTGTATTGTGGCGAATTAGTGTTTTATTTTGCTGTTGTAACACCAAATGTTCCAATCCCAACTGTAATAAATTAGAGGTATTAAAGTATTGAACATAATTTTGCTAACGAGCCATATACTACCATTCACGGGCCATGCAGTATTATATCGGGAAATCCCCGAGCGGAATGATCGCATGTATTTAATGGCAACTTATGATGACAAAGTGATGAAAATACCAGTTCCACATATGAGCCGCGTTACTTTCGCTACCGTTCCAGGGAAATACCGCGACAAAATATCGCGATTTTGTAAGTCCTCCAAGATCCGAGGGGCCCCTTCGCTGTTTCAGGCCCGTGGCCCCCGTTATACTAAAGACTTCACTGCTCATCATCGGTAAAGAAGCTAGAATACAAGTTATGCTGTGCCACAAATTGGGGCTGTGCATTGGTTGTAATTTAAAATGTTCATTCAGTAAAAATAAATAATGAAACCATTGAAAAATAACTTAAAAGCTAAAATAAATAAATTCAGTCTCTAAAAATATAAAAAATAATAATTATTCGATATTTTAAACAAAGAAAATTACCCCTTGATTTAATTTCCTAAATAGAAAATGTCATTGACAATTACTGGGGCCTGATAATTGATAATTAAGTAAATATCTGCTTCCATTTATACTGTTTATAGTTGGCGTACCTATACGTATGGTTTGCATACTTCACCTACAAACTGCTTCATAACTACTGAACACATATTGACCTTGTTTGCCAGTTGAATAAAAAATTACTTATTAAGATTCGGAGGCCTCCTAAAAGACGGGGCCCAGGGCGGACCGCCCCCCCCCCTTAGTCCGCCACTGCAGTGGGTGAATGAATCTGGCTAAAATTTTCGTATGGGTTCATTAAGGTTCATCTCTAGGTTCGTTTCAATGCTAACAAGGATAAAAAAACGAAAATAAAACATAATTTCAGAACTTTTTCAGATTTATTTATACCAAAAATCTCGTTTCAGTACAAATAAAAAATACAGCACGTAAATAAAACGCATATACACTCAAAAGAAGGCACATAACTTAATATTGGATATCAAAACTTATTTTATTACAGTACTTTTTCTTAAAGAAATAAAAAAATACACGTAAGAAAGTCTTGCAAAAATTATCACTAATAATAATGAGATAAAATGCACCTAATAGTTAAAATTCAATTATTATTATAAAATATATTGGAGAACTTAGATCAAAACGAAGTCCTATAAATAATTAAGAGTAACCTCAACTGTACTAAACAAAAATTGACATTTTTATATGGATAAATTACATTTATTGATATTCTCTCTGTTTATGAACATTCCATTTTAGAGGTTACTATATCACGTATCATTTAATATAAATTATCTAGTAAGTCGATCATAATATGTTAACTTAAAATTATCAAAATAAGTATTTTGTTTTAATTGAAAGGTTAACTGCTCAAGATCCGAAACAACAATTTTGTTTAAAAATCTTCAAATGAGGATAATTTTGAGCAGTAAATTTTTGCTTTCCAAACAATGCCAAGATGATCACAGATGTTCTTAGATATAATCGTAATGTATTTAAATTAATAAATTCTTAGTTTTTGGACTCGAAAAGCTCATCTATGGCGCTGGATGAAGTTCTTGGACAGGGGCGTAGGAGTTTTTCACCACCGGTTAGAGGCTGTTTGTGATGGTACTTTATCAGGTCATCTGTAATAGAAAGAAAAGAAAATAAATAATTTTCAGTTTCTATTATTGCTATAAAATATTAATAAAAATTGAAGATATATTTATTAGTTTTTATACACAGGGTATATATTTGTATAATTTGTTTTGAAGATGACAAAATCAATTAAAAAATTTTCCAAATTTAATTCTAAATAATTAATTTTTTAAATCTAAACAAAAGAGACAAGATGATATGAAAAATATTCTCAGAAATATGTTGGTTATGCAAAAGAAAGCAGTATTACCAAAACTGGGACTCTATAAAATGAATCTGGTTTAAAATGAATATCACGAACCTGTTTTACATATCAAAAGTCAATGACATTTTTGGGAGGTACCTATAACATGCTATAACGACATAACAAGAAATAACTTTAAGATTATCTCGATTCTGTTATTTAAAATTTGTATCTTTTATTTATTTTTTCATTAATATTTATTTTTTTTATTAAATTTTTCAATAATCAAATAATTTTTTTTAATTTTTCAGTTAAAAAACATAATATTTTTATAATACATACAGGGTGTCCCACTTAAGATGGATGCAAGCCAATATCTTGACTGTTTGTTGAGCGTTCTTTTTCATTTTTGACAGGAGGCTGTATGGCAATAAGACGTACATTTTGCCCACGGTAAGTAATGCGATACCTCATAGACGTACGTTTTAATGGGATTTGATATTTTTCGAGTCAAGAATAAACTACCCTTAGGACAGTATTTATTTCAAATCTGATAATTATATTGAATCCTCCTTACCTAAGATACTTAAGTTCTAGTTTTGATAAATATTGATACAGGGTGCCTCATTAAAATAAGACATTTTTATTTTTATTATTTTTTTAAGTACTTACGACGCCACTGGATAAACAACAGGTTTATTATCAATAACCAATAATAACCAATTATCAATTAATAATCGATTTAAGTTTTCAGATAGCTTCCATAATAATTAAGATACGATACAAAGAAACTAAATATTTTCAATTTACTTTGTTTACTTTAAAAACTTGTTTTTTAAGTTTGCTAATACAAATGTATAAAAGGAGTTACAAAATAATTTAAAAAACCAGTTTGCAATGGAATCTGAAATATGACTTTTATTCGTTTTATTGAGGAATATTTTAAAAAATCCAAATAGTTAGATATTTAAAACAATCACTATTAACTTTGAAAAATATGCTCTGAAGAAAGATTTGTAAAACTATAATGAACTAAAAGTCAACATCTTCGACCAAACCACCATAAAAAACGATTATTAATTGATAATTGGTTATTGATAATAAACCAATTGTTTATCCAGTGGCGTCGTAAGTACTTAAAAAAATAATAATAAAAATAAAAATGTCTTATTTTAATGACACACCCTGTATCAATATTTATCAAAATTAGAATTTAAGTATCTTAGGTAAGGAGGATTCAATACAATTTATCAGATTTGAAATAAATACTGTCCTAAGGGTAGTTTACTCTAGACTCGAAAAATATCAAACCCCATTAAAACGTACGTCTATGAGGTATCGCATTTCTTATCCTGGGCAAAATGTACGTCTTATACGCCATACAGCCTCCTGCCAAAAATGAAAAAGATCGCTCAACAAACAACCAAGATATTGACTTGTATCCATCTCAAGTGGGACACCCTGTAGATAGTAGATTACATTTAGAAGAAAAAAAACACAATAAATCCAGAGGTTCTCATAAATTTAAGCAAAAAATATATTTTTTTTTAATTTTAAGAGAGAATTATATGTTTCTTTTATCGAGATCTACCAACTCTGTATTCACTTATTTAAGACTATAGCATATTATGAAGGGATTATTGTAATAGCTACGCTACTTAACCAGTCAGTTTTATTAACTAGTAACTAGTGTTTTTCTTGCCTTATTTTATCCAACAAATTTGCTAGATAAATACTTTTAAACTAAGCTAACTCTAAAACGTCTTCAAATTTATATTTATTAATAGTTAAATTTACACATTTTTTTCGAAACTGCGAAGTCTAATAATTATTCAGAATTATAGATTGATGGCATATCATGTTATTACTTACAAAAATCCTAAGTTTTTAGAATTTATATGCACATTTATAAACTAAATAACCTTAAATAAACTATCCAATTGCTAACACAATTAACATTTATTAACTATAATTACCCACACGTCTGCAACAAATACCGCTGCATTATCAGATTAACTTAAAACCGCTGAAAATAGACCGTAGTTATTTTAAAGAGCGACCAGACCCGCTGGCACCGCTGGGAACAATTTAAGGAATGTCTGTGCAATGCGTAATCTAAAAGGTATGCAGTCTAAAAGGCCTTAAACGAAAAAATAATACATGCAGCAATTTAAATGAAAGAAAGAAGGTATTTTGTAACAATTGGCAATCGCTTTCTTATGTGTACGTTTGTTTATATTAAAGTGTAATGGAAGAGGAATAAGTAATAGGGTAGAGGCATGTGTGTTAAAAAGCATTTAAAATGTTCTTGTTGATTTTTCAGAGGTACAAACATTTTTCTATGTAACGTTCTACTATAAAGTCATTTTGGTTATACATATACAGTATGTTCCCGGATTGTGTTTACAAGAGGGAGAGAAAACGTTTTTATTGTTGACTTTTTCAGAAAAAATGCATTCTTCAAAAAATTACTAGATTTTTTTGGTGAAAGTTTGAAACACCCTGTGGAGTACGTTCACAAAGCAAGGTACTTAAAAATCATTCTATTATCTAGGTGTATATTTTCTCGATAGTTTGCTTTTTGATTCATCTCAATAGCTTGATTTTTTTGGAGATATTCGCACTAAATTTTTTTCGAATTTTTTACATTAAATCCATGCCGTTGCTTTTGGTCCTAGTCAACAGACCTGTAATAGAGTGTTTAAAATTGATGTAATGTCACTGTCTTTGAAAAATCATATTATTATTGTCTGTTAAGCAGTTACTCTAGCAGATATGGTTTTAAGTCAAAAAGGTGATCTCATCAATTAAAGCAACAATAGCCGATACTTCAGAACTTAAAACCATCTCTACTAGAGTAAACGTCAGTAAACAATAATAATACGACTTTTCAATGACAGTGACATTACAAAAACAATAAATATTTTATAAGTGTGCTGATGATGTGTTGATGAGGACTCAAAATCAATGCCAAAATTGCTGTAAATCGTTACTGTCTTATTCAAAGGTGAATATACTCTATTTTTTTTCTCAGGTAAGATTTCGACAGACAATGACGGAAGAAAAGCAGACGACGTCCATACCAATCTATTTATTTTCCCAAAAAAAGTTTCTGATATTTTTAAGTTAACTATGGATGGGTTTAAATATAAATCCGTCATATGTCATCTCTTGTTGTTTTTAACCAGTTTTATTGGTTTATTTCAAAAATGACAGATCATATTTCAATTTTATTGGTTTGACGGAACGATGAACGACAAACGGACGCCGATGCGTCTGAACGCGCCTTTAGATTTTTGAGAGTTGTCAAAGCCTTGCCAAATTATAGGTTACAATTTTAAAAAATGTCTATACCTATGTGGCGGATTCATCTTTCCAAAAAAATCCTGTATCCACTGCACTGCAAGAAAATCTTGCAGTGCAGTGGCGAAATACCCATACAGGATTTTTTTGGAAAGGTTATAATTTTGTGTCAACTTATGTCGAATACCCTGCGTTTGGGAAGATGATGCATTTTGATTCGTGTAATTACGTGTGTTTTGTGTCTTTTGAAGTCAAGTGGAGGAAAAATCGAGGGAAAATCAACTGTAGAACCAGAGCACAGTTTATAGTTACTACTCGGTGCCCAGGGAGAAAGTCTTATACACCAATAAAGTTACCATCAATAAAGTTTGTAAACCATCTCCTTATAAATAAGTGCATCTCGTATATGGTACAAGGATCGTACTAAACATATACTAAAAACTGGAGTAGCTGTAAAATAACGACAACATACGATAAATAAATAATGGATTTTAGTAATGCACAAAAATAATGTCATAAGGTAATTATAAATGCGGGAAGTTTCTTGAAGCTTGAAATTAAGAAATAGTTATTTTTTATATATTTTTTGTATATGGTGTTTTGTTCCTGTTTGTTTTGTATTAACACATACGGCTTTTTTTTATTAAAATAACTAGTCTCTCCCAACTCACTTGTCACTCAAATTTTAAATATATTAATTTCCTGCTATGCGTTCCAATTGTACCAACTTATTTCTTTGTAAAATAAAATAAACTACTTTGAAATTAAAATGACAGACACATCCATCACTGTCCAGGATCTTGTCGTTGGACACACTATATCTTCAATAAAAAAAAACTATTGAGATGAACGAAAACACAAACTATAGGAAAAAGACGTACTAAGATTATAAAATTATTTTTCAATTCCTTGCATTGTTAACATATTCCACAGGGTGTTTCAAATTTTCACCAAAATATTAACATTTTGTTTTCCCTCGAATAATTGACATAATATAAAAACTTTCATTTTTAATTTAGAAAGAGATACTAAAAAGTCAAATAATTTAGCTACAAATTGCTTAAAAAATCATACAAAATATACTACCAACTACAACAAAATATATTAAACTTTAAAATACATTTTAAGGTGCCCGATTTTCGTGCCGGTGAGTGTATATTATTTTTATACTACAAACTTTTTTTTTCTTTATACATATTATTTCCACATAGAGCAGTTAACTAAAAAAATACATTCGATATTAATAATCCCATTAGATCAGAATAAAAAGAAATCATTGTTATAGTCTGTGAAACGAATAACTTTGAATTTGGCAGTTCCCGCGGGCTTTTCTAGTGTTAATTTTATTAGGTTAGCAACTTGCGGCCATGCTGACGCAATGCCATCTCTAATAGAACAGCCTCGGAGCGAGGTTCATGACGTCACGCTAGTTAAATACTACGGATTAATAAATATGTTGTAGAATACATGGAAAATATAATAATTCCAAGTATTTTTGGTTTGTATTTTATGATATAGTTTACATAAAATATACATAATATACAGTTAAAAAATACGATATATATGTATACCTACTTATTTATAGTAATAAAACTTTCGCAAATAAACTATGAACCATACAAATGCACCAAATGTTTTACAATATACAAATAATGAATAGGTACATAAGATAATGGGTAAAATGTAAAATATATTTTAAATTTTGGGTTTTGAAAATCGATCTAATTTAACAAGAAACATTCAATATCTACTACTTACTATGGCTGAAATCGTACTCCATAGTCAATGTAGATAGTTTTAGTGTTAAGAATAATAATTTAAAAAAATACGTGGTCATCTTTTAACAAGTTTATATTAGTTTATTAATTGAAGTAAACATTATGTTGTGTGTGGTGTGAATATTGTATATGTAATTTTTTGGATTATATTCGACACTATTTTTTTCATATGACACAACACTGATGAAGGCTATGATGTTAGCCGAAACGTTTTTTTTTAACTAAAAAGAAATAATGAAAAAACAAATGAAAACTTAATCAGCGTTTTTCCCGAACCTAAATCCCAAGAAAATCAAAAATTTTACAATAATTTTACATATAAAATGACAGCAATCTTTATTTCATAGCTATCTCTGACGCCTTTTTTTCTATGATATTGTATTATTTGCAAATATAATTTTTCGAACATTGATACTTGCAAAATATACATTTGTGAATGCAAATAATAATACTTCACTATTAGTAGATATTGAATGTTTCTTGTTAAATTAGATCGATTTCCAAACCCCAAAATTTAAAATATATTTTACATTTTACCCATTATCTTATGTACCTATTCATTATTTGTATATTGTAAAACATTTGCTGCATTTGTACCTATGGTTCATAGTTTATTTGCCAAAGTATTTATTACTATAAATAGGTATATATATATATATATATATATATATATATATATATATATATATATATATATATATATATTGTATTTATTAACTGTATATTATGTATATTTCATGTAAACTATATCATTTTTAATATACAAACCAAAAATAGGAGGAATTATTATGTTTTACATGTATTCTACAACATATTTATTAATCCGTAGTATCTAACTAGCGTGACGTCATAAATCTCGCTCCGAGGCTGTTCTATTAGAGACGGCATTGGTCTGATATTTAGAAATGTCAAAAGCTGATGACATTTTACTTTTGACAATTGTGTTGATTTTTGCAAGAAGAGGAAGAACTGTCACTTGTTTTATTATTTTCCTTTTCTATTTCAGGAAAGTAAAAAGAGTTACCTATCTGATTCGTTCAGGCATTCAATTTAAAGAATATCAGTAACTTTTTTGATAGAGGGATTTTATATTTGCCATGTTGGTAAAAAATAACGGTCAAAATTCAAAGTTATTCATTTTATAGACTATAAATGCTGTGAATTTGATATATTTTAAAAAAAATTCTACTTTTATGGAACAACAAATGCACTAAAACTAACTTATTCATCTAATTTTGTAAACAATCTTGCGTTAAGAGTCTATTACGCTGTACTGTTCGGGTCGCTCTCGGGGGTCGGGTAAAGCGGGTGTGTGGCCGAAGGAAATATATATTATATTTCAGAAATCTGCCTAAGGCTTAGCCCGATCTTGTCCTGTTAAACCACACTCAAAATTCCAAACACACATGCTTTGATTAAGGCTTGATTAAGGTTTGCAGAGCTTCAGCATTTGCCGTAAAATAGCGAGCAATTTGTTACAAAACCATATAAATTATATATCACTGTAATCACAAAACTTCAATCTATTTCCGTAGTATAACGGAATTTTAAATTAGGTCTTTATTTTCGGGAAAATTTAGTCTAAAAATAAGGAATATTTTGTTGATGTTTGATCATCAAAATTTTAAAAATAAAGAAGTTGTCTAGAAATGTGCTGCAACACGCATATAGTATAATCCTTTATCTTTAATTTCCTTCTTCATTTGTGTAAAAATACCTAGCCAGTTTCACATAAAACGTTAAATGCCGAACGCTTATTTCGCTACTTTTTCGGACTAATAAAATGGACTCTTAATTATTGTGTTTCTGAGAAGGCAAACAACATAATTTTTGGCTCGTAAATCGCAAACCTAGGCTCGGCAAATGCAAAAACTTTTCGAAATACCGGAAAACAGAGGGATAAGGAAGTTTACCTGAGATTTTTATCGGAACGATTAGCATAACTTTCGCCTGTAAGATCATCGGCAACGAACGGTGTGCGTTAAACGTCTGATAAATTAACGTTCTAATTAGTCCAATTAGTTCTAGTTCAGCGTTAGAGCCAATAAAACACTATTGTTTTTTATTACTTCGAAGAGAATAGTTAAAACTTCATCTAATTTGAGATTCTGTAATAAAAATATTCACGATAAGTGATGTCTGTACCTTGCTGAAACAATTTTCGATAGGGTGAGTCTTAAATAAGTGAATATTCCAAAGTGCTGGTAGATCTCGATAAAAGAAACATATTTTTCCTTTACTGTTTTTCAAATAAGTTCAAAACAGCCAAGTTATTATACTATGATAAGTAGTATAAAAAGTTATTTTTAATTTTTAAATTTTGAGAACCACTGGATCTTTTCTGTGTTTTCGTTCCTCTAAATTTCATCTACTATCTACGTTGGCATATTATCTAGATATTATGTTTTTATAAATAAAAAATAAAATGTCATAAAAAACAATCAGAAACATGGAATCAAATTATCATGGAATCGAATTATACCCTCCTAAAATATATGCCCTTTTTTAAGACGCCCCCTGTATAATTAATTAAAGAAATATCGTTACTAAAAATACCATATCGTTAAAAAAAGAAACGACGTCAAAGGGTCTTGGAAATGACGTGCGTACTATAATTTACCTATAAAATTACAGCGATTCTTATTTCTAAGACAACTTTGACGTCGTTTTTTTCGATTGTATGGTATCACCAAAATATGAAAAATATATATATAAAGTCCTATAATAAAGACTAAATAACTGTGTACTAGGCAGATAATGAGATAATTTCAAGAAAATATATTTACTTGTACGAGGTGTTTCAAAAAATGTTAGAGAGTAAGGAACTTTTTAAATGGAACGCACTGCATATTATTGCAATTCGTTTTGATAATTTCAGAACATAAGAGAACATAAATAAATAAATAAGATATATTTTGCAGCATTATTAAAAAATCATTAAAAATAAAAATTGATGTCATGAAATTAAAGCAACGCCAAGTTTTTCCTAACAATTTGACCATACTTCATTACAAATATCGTGATCGTAAATTGTACAAAGTGTTCAAAATTTAATGTCCAAATTGTTAAGTTACCAATTGTTCTTATTCTTTTTTAAGTGGATCGTACTGTATATTTCTTGAAAAAAGGTCCAATTGGTGGACCAATTGACCTCCGTTAGATCGTGGTGTTTACAAAAAATATTTTTTTATTTAGTAGATCTTCTTCTAGTGGCGAAAAACTGAACCCTTTTTGAATAAATGAACCCTCAACAAAGGTATAGACCTTATCCGTATATTATTTATTTTAGGTGCAGAATTAAAAAATCAACATTTTTATTTTTTTTTATTTTAGTAATTAAAGTATTTCGAAATTTCTAACGATATTGCAAATGTTCAATGTAAATAAAAAACAAACACAAAAAACAAATTTAATAATAACCTCAAATTATTTAAAGTGAATAGAAAGAAATAAAAAAAAATAAAATAAAATAGAAAAAAATCGAAAAAAATAAAATAAAAAAATATAAGGGTGTTCTATTAAAAGAAAATAAACGAAAAACACCGTGGAAAAAATTGAACAGCCATCAGTTATCGACAAATGTAATGTCACATTTTCTTACCTAAACTATTATGTTCGAGCTGATTGGTCCCGCAGAAACTATATGTTTGCGAGGCATTAACTAGGTAGTGTTTACATTTTTCTTCAGCCCTGTATGATATGGCGTATCCCCAGATCTTCTCTGACAATCTGACCAAGAACGTTCCATGTGGCTGGTCCAACAGCAGTTTTTCTGCTTGAGATCGTGTTATTAAACCTGAAATTATAAAAATAATTAAGTCTACATAATATAATCCGTATTAAACAGTAGAGCAATCAGATGTTTAATTACTTTCATTATACTAAAATTTTATTGGATTTTGAAAGGTACAAATTTATTTTATTTTCTCTGAGATTTAACAGACTCAATTTTTTTATTTCTATTACTTTTATTTATGCCTTTATACGTTATTACCAAAAACGACATTACCCGTCAAATGTCACAGTTATTTATATAAAAAAATTTATATGACCCCCCCCCCTATACAGGGTGGCGCCTCTCATACGCCGCGGAGGCTCCAAGGAGAACGACAGTTTATATTGAAATAAAATTTTGTGAACATATGTAGGTTAATTCCGAGCACTTTTTAAAAATATAGAGAGTTCTACAGGGTGTCCCCAAAAAAGTTACATATCAAAGTTGTGTTTTTTGCAATGGAACACCCTATATATTAATTGATTTTCGGATTCTGGGAGAAAAATAAAGGTGAGTTTTATAAGAGAAGTATATGACTAAAATATAAGGTTTTTGACTTATTAAATATTTTCTAGAAATAAAGCACAATTTTTAAATTACAATAAAATCTACCTAAATTAGAATTTACCTGGTATAGCCTAATATGTAGTTAAATTAACTATTGTGTTTTAATTCAAATTAAAACTTGATCCAAAAAGTTATACAGGGTGAGACAAAATTAATATTGAACATTGGTCACCTTTAAAAGCATGTTACTCTTATTTTAAATGGAACACCCAGTATATTATTCAGATATTACTAACCTAAAATACTATTAAGGTTGCCTACCCCTCAAACAAAGATTTTCCTAGATATTTTCATTTACATGATTTGATCTGAGTAGATCTTTATTAAAAAATGTCTATACCTATGTGGCGGATTCAACTCTCCAAAAAAATGCTTTATGGGTATTTCATTAGATCTTTATTATTTGATAAAATCTAGGTGGCTGTGATATGTTTGACGTAACTTCAACATAGGTGTCTAAATGTCTAATGAGTCTAACTGTAACAACTAGTTATCATTTTGTATGAGTTAAAACAAAATATATGCAAACTTATCCTATAGTCTGTGAAACGAATAATTTTGAATTTGACAGTTCCCGCGGGCTTTTCTAGTGTTAATTTTATTAGGTTAGCAACTTGCGGCGATGCTGACGCAATGCCGTCTCTAATAGAACAGCCTCGGAGTGAGATTTATGACGTCACGCTAGTTAAATACTACAGATTAATAAATATGTTGTAGAATACATGGAAAATATCATAATTCCTCGTATTTTTGGTTTGTATTTTAAAAACGATATAGTTTACATGAAATATACATAATATACAGTTAATAAATACAATATATTAACCTATTTATAGTAATAAATACTTTCGCAAATAAACTATGAACCATACAAATGCAGCAAATGTTTTACAATATACAAATAATGAATAGGTACATAAGATAATGGGTAAAATGTAAAATATATTTTAAATTTTGGAGTTTGAAAATCGATCTAATTTAACAAACAACATTCAATGTCTACTACTTACTATGACTGAAATCGTACTCCATAGTCAATGTAGATAGTTTTACTGTTAAGAATAATAATTTAAAAAAATACGTGGTTATCTTTTGACAAGTTTATATGAGTTTATTAATTGCAGTAAACATTATGTGGTGTGTGGTGATTTTATATGTAATTTTTTTGGATTATATTCGACATTATTTTTTTCATATGACAACACTGATAAAGACTATGATTTTTTTTTAAACCGCTTTCTTTTAAACCAAAAAAAATAATGAAAAAAACAAATGAAAACTTAATCAGCGTTTTTCCTAACCTAAATCCCAAGAAAATCAAAAATTTTAGAATAATTTTACATATAAAATGACAGCGATCTTTATTTCATAGCCATCGCGGACGCCTTTTTTTCTATGATGTTGTATTATTTGCAAATATAATATGTCGAACATTGATACTTGCAAAATATACATATACATTTTGTGAATGCAAATAATAATACATCACTATTAGTAGATATTGAATGTTTTTTTGTTAAATTAGATCGATTTTCAAACCCCAAAATTTAAAATATATTTTACATTTTACCCATTATCTTATGTACCTATTTATTATTTGTATATTGGTGGTATATTGTAAGACATTTGCTGCATTTGTATGGTTCATAGTTAATTTGCCAAAGTATTTATTACTATAAACAGGTATATATATTGTATTAATTAATTGTATATTATGTATATTTCATGTAAACTGTATCATTTTTAAAATACAAACCAAAAATACGAGGAATTATTATGTTTTCCATGTATTCTACAACATATTTATTAATCCTTAGTATCTCACTAGCGTGACGTCATAAATCTCGCTCGAGGCTGTTCTATTAGAGACGGCATTGGTCTGATATTTAGAAATGTCAAAAGCTGATGACATTTTACTTTTGACAATTGTGTTGATTTTTGCAAGAAGAGGAAGAACTGTCGCTTGTTTTATTATTTTCCTTTTCTATTTCACGAAAATAAAAAGAGTTACCTATCTGATTCGTTCAGGCACTCAATTTAAAGAATATCAGTAACTTTTTTGATAGAGGGATTTTACATTTGCCCTGTTGGTAAAAAATAACGGTCAAAATTCAAAGTTATTCATTTTATAGACTATACATCAGAGAGAATTAATATGATTCTATTAGTTCGTGAATGCAGTGTGCATTTACCAATTAATAGAATACTTAAATGTTCCTGACTTTATCTAGTCTGTTTTTTTTATGGGGATATGTTAAAGACAGTGTTTATACAAAACTCGACCAATTGTTGTCGACAATATGAGAGAAATTACTCCTAGCTGCTTTTCGAGGTAGAAAGACAAATCAATCAAATCTTTTGAAAAGACAAATCATTTTATGCAATTGACAGGAAAAGAAGCATTTTGAGCATTTGATTTCATCTAGCTAATTTTTGTCACATAATTATAGGTTTATATCTAGTTTTAATTCTGTAATAAATAAAATATGTTTTAAACGTGTATCTTTTTATTACCGTTGAGTATTTTAGTCTACAATCTTTAATTTTTGTTAAATTAACAAAACGTATATCACACAGCCACCCTAGATTTTTTTTAAATAATAAAGATCTACTGACGCAAAATCATATAGGTTTATATCTAGTTTTAATTCTGTAATAAATAAAATATGTTTTAAACGTGTATCTTTTTATTACCGTTGAGTATTTTAGTCTACAATCTTTAATTTTTGTTAAATTAACAAAACGTATATCACACAGCCACCCTAGATTTTTTTTAAATAATAAAGATCTACTGACGCAAAATCATAAAAATAAAAATATCTAGGAAAATCTTTGTCTGAGGGGTGGGCAACTTTAATAATATTTTGAAGATATATAAATTCCCTATTGAACACCGGAAAAATATACTGGGTGTTCCATTTAAAGTAAAAGAGTAACTTGGTTTTAAAAGTGACTAATGTTCCACATTAATTCTGTCTCACCCTGTATAACTTTTCGGGTCAAATTTCAATTTGATTTAGCATACAATGTTTACTTTAATTAAATATCAGGCTATACAAGGTCAACTAAAATTTAGGTAGCTGTTATCAAAATTTAAAATTTACTCTTCATTTCATAAAATGTCAAATATGTCAAAATCCTTGGATTTTAGGTATATGTTGCCTTTATTTCTTCCTAGACTCCGAAAATCAATTAAATATAGGGTGTTCGTCATTATAAAAAACACAACTTTGATGTATAACTTTTTTTGGAGACACCCTGTATAATTCTATATATTTTTATAAAATGCTTTTGTGTTAACCTACATATGCAACCAAAATTTCATTTCGATATAAACTACTGTTCTCCTTGGAGCTCCCGCGGCGTATGAGAGACGCCACCCTGTATATTAGAAATGTATTAGATAGCTTGTGTTTTCCGATTTGAAAGATATTACACATGCCCTTTAAATGAAAATATTAAGGAAGAAGTTTAATGTTATCCATCTATTCATGCATGGTAGACGAAGATGGGGACCTAGGGTAGGTATCCTTGACAGTTTTGTTTGACGTCCCATTTGACACATTTGAATATGATTTGAAATTTTGTGGATTAATTAGTCTTTGTCGAACTTATTTTATGTTATTTAATGTTTATTAATTGAGAGTTGTTTAGAGGTAGTAAAGCTAGAAGGAAATTGTGTCAGAACTTAAATTAATAGTGACAATATGGTAGCCTTTTCTTTTTATCAGTTTTACTTAAATTTGATAAAACATGGCAATAACTATTATAATAGGAAAATAATAAAATAGCAATAACTTTTTCAAATTAAAATCCAATTTTAATAATACAAAGAAGATATTTATTCCTAAGAGTCAAGGTTTCTACTGTTTCTTGAACTTTTCCATTCTAAGAAACTGAGGTCTTCACACAAAAGTGTCAATTTTAATTTCGATCCAAACAAATAAATAAATTGACACACCTGAAAAGGTGAAAAAATTGTCACATCGACCTTCAACCAAAATTCGAGTGTAAAAAAACGGATATTAAAGGTGTTGCAAAACACTTTTCCTTTCTGCTAAATTAAGAAATTAAGATACGGTTTAGATTGTGACAATAAATGAGATTTAGTTTTTATGTCACGAAATAATTGAGTTACAATATACCTATGTAACAATAGCGTGTAAATTTTTAATATACAGGATGAGTCTTAAATAAGTGCACATACTTTCAAAGCTCTGCTAGATCTCGGTAATAGAATAGTTATTCTTTATAACATTAATGCAATTTGATATCGTGTATAAAACAATATTTTTTTCCATAGCGAGTTACGTTTTAAAAAATATTCAGAAATTATTATTTCAAGGAATTTATTACGAGTAGAAAAAATATTGTGCTGGGTTAGCGTTGGTTTCTATGTAATTTGACAAATAAATAAAGCTGTCTCTTTAGTTGTCAGTTTTGAGTCAATATTTTTTAATTCTTTTTCGTGTCGATTGCTGATTGAATTGAAGCCAGAAATGACTCAAAACGAAATAAGTAAATTACCAACAGATATTCAGGCTGAGGCGACCAACGCCATATCCAAACTACTTCCATTTAAATCCCGAATAACTTATGAAAAGGAATACAAAAATTTTCAAAAATGGAAGCAATTAAAAAACGTGCGAGAAGAAATAAAGTTTTGTGGTTTTAACCTATCCTCGCTGTTAAAGTATCATTATTTAATCTACCCTTGCGGTTAAAATACTATTTTATCTACTATTTTAGATAGATATAAGGCAATTTTAACAGTTGCTATGGAAAAGACATATTTTCCCTTTACCGTTTTTCAAATAAGTCCAAAAAGCTGAGTTATTTAACTTGAAAATGAAAGAAAAAACATCTGTATTTTTTTCTGGATGTTGTATACAGAAATATAAAAACTTCTCAAATATTTAGAATTTAAATTTCTCTTATTCATAATTATAAATACAAAATTATCATCAAACGGCATGTCTAAAGTAACTTTACGCAATTTATATTTCGAATACAAACAGAAAATCTTAGATATACAGGGTCCGGCAATAGTGCGTCGGGCATCTGTAGCTCCTAGAATAAAAGACTTGAGAATTTTGTTTAAGTGAAAACCTAAAGTATGTATGAGGATGTATTTCCGGAAAATATTTTAACTTCTATAGGGTGGCTCAAAAAAGAGTGAGTGGATTTGAAGGTTTTTTTTTTAAACGGAACACCCTGTATATTATTGCATTTTTGGCTTCCTTTCAGATCACTTTACATAACCCTAAGATATGAATAAATATATTTCGATAGTTTCAGAGATATTAAAAAATAAATCAAAAATATATATTTTTCAGCCCTTCTTTAAAAAATTATTAAAAATACTGGAACTGTTCTGAAATGAAAACTATATTAGGTATTTACTTTAGATGGTCTGTTCTTACTTTGCTATAATTACGGTAATCGTAAATCATACAGGATGTTCAATATTCTACGCCAAACTTTCTAAAATATAAAATATTTTTTCTTTGTTTTTATAAATGGAACACCCTGTATATTATTTTTTTATTAAATGGAGACTTAAAAAACGAACATTTTTTGTATTTAGACTATTTCAAAATTTTTAACGGTTTCGCAGATACACGCAGTATTATTTCATATGGCGCTTTCAATGGTAAAATACGAGAGAAAAATCATTGGGTGGCTTTGATAAAAATTTACTGTGGAAAACGCCATATGAAATATAAAACTGCAAATATCCGCGAAACCGTTAAAAATTTTGAAATACTCTAAATACAAAAAATGTTCATTTTTTAATTCTCCGTCTCTTGAAAAAATAATATACAGGGTGTTCCATTTAAAAAAACGAAGAAAAATTATTTTATATTTTAGAAAGTTTGGCGTTGAATTTTGAACATCCTGTATGATTTACGATTTTTATATTTATAGCAAAGTAAGTACAGACCATCTAAAGTAAATACCTAATATAGTTTTGTTTTCAGAACAGTTCTTGAATTTTTAATAATTTTTTTAAGAAAGGCTGAAAAATATATATTTTTGATTTATTTTTTAATATCTCTGAAACTATCGAAATATATTTATTCATATTTTAGGGTTATGTAAAGTGACGTAAAAGGAAGCCAAAAATGCAATAATATACAGGGTGTTCCATTTAAAAAAAATCATCCAGGTCCACCCACACTTTTTTGAGCCACACTATAGAAGTTAAAATATTTTCCTGAAATACATCCTGGTACATACTTTAGGTTTGCACTTATACAAAATTCTCAAGTTTTTAATTCTAGGAGCTACAGATGCCCGACGCACTATTGCCGGACCCTGTATATTCAATACAAAAACTTTTCAGTTCACTATTTACCCTCATATATCCTTATTATTTCTTAATCATCTCCTGTAACTCACATTCAAATAGTTATGACAGGCGATTGTGATAACATTTTCAACTAAGTTGGTATGTAGGTATGTCGTATTTCCCTGACTTTTATATCTCTATATGTAAATACAACACCAGTTTTAAATTCATCATCAAATATACCTAATCCTCTAAGAACTAATCCATTAAAATTCTTGGTAGAATCAGCTGATAGTGACAACAGAATTCGCAAAATGCTTGCATACCACAGATTTGAATTTTAAATTATTTGTTATAACATTACATACTGATTTCTTATGTTACAGTTATATGAAAAATGCAAAACTGTTCCTTTTTTTTGTTATATACAAAACCAAATGTATAAATAAGTTTATTACAACAGTAAATTTTACGGTTAAAATATTGTTTAATATTTCTATGATTACCGATGCCTGCAGTTCTATAATTTCTCAGATAATAGCTTCAATTAAACCAAAAGAGATTCTATAAAAGCAATTTCTATAATTAGCGTTAAATTTTCACAAGTTTTGTATCAATTTTTAGTAAATGACGTCTAGATATTGACCTCGCCGAAATTATCATCGATTGTCATTACTCAGCCGTCTTTGACGTCGTTTTTTTTTCGAACATACGGTATTATAACACTTTTAAAATTTTGAAAAGTGTCAGTAATATCAACGGTTGAACATAATACATAATGGTAAATCAAAATTAGTAATTGTTTTATATTATTTTTAGACAAACACAATATTAAAAAACAGATACTTTACTTTTGCTAACGTAGTTAAAAAAAATATTGTACTAGTAATATTAAAAATAAACTACTCATCTATTTAACACATACCATGAAACCAAGATTGGACGTTGTTGGACTCATCCAATCCTGCTAACCTAGGTTTTTCTTTTTGTCGGTACCATTCGAAAACTGCTTGTCTTCCTGGCGGTACCCCTGCGTTGACAGTACTGTAATTCGTGTCAATTTCCATATTTGACGTTAACCTGTGCTCTGCCCGAGCTCTTCTGGCAATTTCTCGAATTTGTTGCTCAGCCTGCTTCGCTTTTCTTTCTATAATATACAAAAAATCAAATAAGTCCTCATTAAAAAAGTATCAAGAAAAAAACGTTTTATTTTTTCCTAATCTTGGAAAGCATTCTATCAACTTCAATCAGTCTAACGTAATCCTGTCTTCAATTCTATGTTTTAAATCTTTGCAATTTTTTATGTTTTCTCTTTTTTAACTTTTGTATTTTAGCTGTCTAGATCCGCTATTGTTTCCCTATGCTAACAATATCTGTTTTAGCGATATCTTCAAAAATAATTCAGAATAATTAAGACTAGTGAGGGCGAGACTAGTCTTGGTCTTGCGGTCCTGATCTTTCTTGCACAAAAACCGAGACTAGGATGTAAAGGGGGACGGGAGTGGGAGGGGGGTTAATCACCGCGACCTTACATATACAGGGTGTCCCAGCCTGAGCGTGTATTAGAAGTTTCTAGAGAACTACAACATCTAGCTCGGAGATTTTTTGCAGAGATTTATCAATTAAAAATATTTTCAATATGGTGGCACTTCCGGAAATACCAGAAGTAGATAGTAACTTTCTCATTTTAAATTGGTGCCCCCATTTTTTATTACATACTTAAATTTTCTGTAAAATTTTATGAATTTTAACACTGTATATCTAACATTGACCGTTTTTGAGAAAAAAAAATATTTAAAATTTTCGAACGAAAAAAACTGCCTGTCAAAAATATGTGTATACCCTAAACGTCAAATTGAGTGATTACCACATCCACTGTACCATAAAGAGAAGACATGTGGGTATCTATATCAAAAATTAAATTGTTCGTATGCCATATAATAATGGCCGCAGCTGTCATAGAATTGAGCAATTAAAAATGTATCATAAATCATTTTTTTCAAATGGAAACCCACATTTTTGTTTCACTAGTGAAATAGTGGCTTTTCTATATATAGTGGGTCACTAGTGGCTTTTCAATTCGTGACTTTTTAACTATAGGTACATGTTCCTATACCTAAAATAAATCGTTTTTAAGTTATTTAAGATTTAGTTTTAAACCGTATATTTTTTTCTTGATTTTAACCAATAGCCTATGACTTTAAACGTCAAATGATGTAAAACAATAGATCTGTCATCTTGTGACGCTTTATTCAAAAACCAGCATCATTTCTGAACGAACTATACGCTGTTTTTTTTTCGGTCATGTCGGAATATTATTAATAATATCAACTTTAGATATCACTAAAGAGCGAAAATACGAGATATATTTTTATAAATACACTTTTTAAACTGTTAAGGGGGGTGGCGGACAGTATTTATAATATAGAAAATTCAAATAATTCGTTTTCTGACAGATGGAAATAAATTGTCTGACCGTTTGACACTTAATGTTAAAGGAAGCTAGATAAAATCAAGAAAAATATACGTTTTCAAAATTAAATCTTAAATAACTTAAAAACTATTTATTTTAGGTATAGGAACATGTATAGTTAAAAAGTAATATATTGAAAAACCTTTTTATTTGTGAAATAAAAAAGTGGGGTTCCATTTGAAAAAAATGATTTATGATAATTTTTTAATCGCTCAATTCCATGACAGCTAGAGCCATTATTTTATGACATTTGAACAATTTAATTTTTGAAACAGATAGCCACATGTCTCCTCTTTATGTCACAGTGGCTGTGATAATCACTAAATTTGGCTTTCAGGCTAAAAAAAACCTAACATGCCGCACTCTTGTATTTCTTCTTGCTATGCGTTTTTATTTCACGTTTTTTATTTTCATAAAATGAGTTATCACAAAATGTATAAATCAAACAAGCAAAGCAACAAACTAATATAGAGATGCGAGTAATACAGATTCTCAATATAAAATAAAACATTTCATTACCTTGCTCCCTCCAAACTTGATCCTTCTTTTTCTCTTCCTCTTCCGCTTCCCTGGCCACTTGCTCCTGCTTCTTCCTGATATTCCTGAATATTTCTGTCGTCCTCTCCTCCGTCAGTCTTTTCTCCCACAACGCCACCTTCTGGGCAACTTTCTGCGTGTTCAACGAGATCTCCTGAAGCACATCTCTAGTATCTATAAAGCTAAATTTGTTATTTTTCGATTGATACGAGTTCAACTGGTAATTCGCTAGAGGTTTCTGCGGTTTCTGGAAGTTTTGGGAGTTGATTTTTTCTCTTAATTCGTCAACGGAACAGTATATGTCCATGTCATCTTCGTAGTCGAGTTTCGAGTTACCTATGTCTTCTATTTTCGGCGTTAGGTCGATGTATTCGGAGAGCTGAGCTTCCACTTGCTTTCGCAGTTGCTCTGCTTCTTTTTCGGCGATTTTTCGGGCTTTGTCGATTGCTTCTTCTTTTATTATGTCTTCTATGCTCTTGTCGTCTTTGTGTTCGCCCATTACCCAAACCCAAGGTTCTCCATCTGAACCTATTAAATGAATACCAGTATTAAGATATACAGTGTCACCTTAGATGAAATATCAATCGGTGATATTTTTTTCTTTGAATTGGGTTAAAAATGAGAACAATATTATAAAGAGTGTGTCCATTTTGAAAAATTTATTTAAAAACTTTGTGTGTTTTTTTAAATATTTTGTTCATTATTCATTATTTATAGTGATTTACAAAATATTTATTAAACTATACGAAAATTCTCGTTGATTATTGGTTTGAAATAAATATGACAATGTCCTCCAATAAAAATGTGAGTTACTAACTCTAAGCTGGCAAATGAGCTAGATGCTTTAACTGACTGTTATTCAGAAACTACAAAACTATCGATGAAAATATGCATGAAGATTTACTTCCTAGCACACAACTAGAGGATATTGGTACACAGGTAAAGTATCAAGTTAATTATAGTGATTTTCTTAGCCGCGTATGGTACAGATCGTTACTCAGAGCAGTTAAATCCAAACATCCTCTTGCTAGCTGATGTGTCACGGCTTTGAATTATTACTCCCAAAGCGCGTAAAGAAGTTTTACTTCAATAATCTATCAAATAATTTTTTATTTTACGTGGATTTTATGAGTGCTATAACAAAATATAGACATGGCCAAAATTATTGCATATATCGTTTAAAAATATACGGAAAGGAATTTAAAGAATCTTTTTTATACTTAGTTTTGATAATCTGTAATAAACATTTTTTTGTTAAAATGGATGTGGTAAACAATGTTTATCGTTCAGACCCAATATTATTACAAATTCTTGCACATTTCGATTTGTGGTCTCTTGGGTTTCAGAAGATATTTGACCATTGTTTTGGCCTTAAAATGCCTAGAAACATTATTTCACAGTTTAATAGAGTCAGAATAGTAACACTGTCTCAACAGGGCTACCGGCAAGTTGTAATAGCTGAAATTGTAGGAGTTAACCAAAGCGATGTTTCGCGAATATTAAAAAAATTCAGGGAGACAAACGAGGCACAGACCGGCCTGGAAGAGGTAGAAAGAGAGTTACTACTGCTGTGCAAGACCGTCAAATATCTCTAATTGCACGACGCAATCCCCTGCTTTCTAGTACTGCTATTAAAAATGAGTTAGCTCGCCTTGAAGGAGTAAACGTTTCAAGAAAGACGATAGCAAGAAGACTCCATGACAGAGGATTACATTTAAAGGGGCCTCTACGTGTTCCGAAGCTTAATTTACAGCACAAAATTACGCGACTACAATGGGCTGAGGAGATGAGAGCAAATGGACTTATTTGGAATTTCGTCATGTTTAGTGATGAAACAAGAATAGGCCTAGTGTTAGACTCGCGACGAACTTTGGTCTGGAGAGCATCTGGAAGACGAGCACGCTTGAATGCAGCTCAAGCCCGGGTCCCGTTTCAATGGGGAAGCATTATGGTATGGGCAGGTATAATGCACGGAGCTCGAACTCCTCTTGTTTTTATTGATGGCATAATGACAGGTGCCTCATATCTTAGAGACGTTTTAGAGCCTATTGTGCGTCCATTTCGAGGGGCAGTGGGGGATGAATTTGTTTACATGGACGATAATGCTCCTCCCCATCGCACTTTAGCGGTTCGCGAATTTTGTGAGGAAGAGGGTATAAGAAAATTGTGGTAGCCACCGATGTCTCCAGATATGAATGTGATCGAGCATGCTGGGGACATGCTAAAACGCAATATTGCCAAAAGGAATGATGGGAAGTCATTCCTCAACATCTTCTGGACAACTTAATTGAAAGCATGGCACGTCGTCTCACAGCTTGCATTGAGGCTCGAGGAGGCAATACAGACTATTTACTTGTGAGATTAAAATTGTTTTCAATATTTTCTGTTTAAAATGAAATTTGTTTTTGTTGATTTTCACTCATTATGAAATAAAATTATAATAACAGCCTAGTTGCACTTAGATTTTTAATTTTATATTAGTTAGTCGTGTAGTAAGCCAATATGTCCAAAAATATAAAAATAATCATACTAGGTCCAAAATAAAATAAAAATATCGTTATATGCAATAATGTTGGCCATGTGTGTATTTTGTTTAATATGACTGTACCTTTAAGAAAGCTGACACTTTTCTTGTTGTTTGGCTTGGTTAACGTAGATTCTTCTCCCAATTTGTCGTTCCACGCTATCCATCTTCTCACTTGTTCTTCGCGCATCTTACAGAACAGCGTTTGCTTCTGTTGTTCGTCCAGTTCAGCCAGAATCTCTGGATCTACGTACATATCTCGTAGAATTTGTTGCAGCATTTTGATAAGTCAAATCTGAAAAAGAAACAATAAAACTGTTAATCAAATTTTCCAAAAAATATATGAAGTATTAAAGTAATAATCCACAGTTGAAAAAACCATTTTAATATAAATATAACCACACTCGTCCAGTAATTACATTCGAAACTTAATTGAAGAATCGATTACTGATAATGAAATTCAATCAATATTTGACATTACTTCATCTGACAGACAGCAGACAGACGTGACGGGACATCATTTGTTTATAAAAATTCCCCCCTTTTTCTTATTTCTTGGTGTAATTTCGCAAATTGTGTTATACTTTAAATATTATGAATTTATATTTATCTTATAAACAGTTGTGGTAAATGTGACGTGAACTCTTGACATTTCATATTATAATAGCTAAGTAAATATCAAATTATGTTGTGGTCAGAGTATAATATAGAATGGTCGCAACTAAAGAAAAGACCAGGAGCGTCCTACCAACAACGATCGCCTTCTCTCTTGAGTCAGACATGGACGCCCCAGTGTAAGAGAGAGAGAGACGATGACCTAGGTGATGACGCTCCTGAGATTTTCTTTAGCTGCGACCATTCTATAACTCAAAAATGAGGAACATAAAGGCTAGACATGTGTATAAACAGGTTTTATAGTTTTTTCCTCTTATTTTCTATATTTCTATACAGTTACATTTACACTACTCAGTCTACTTCACGTAGAATATACAGGGTGCTACAAATTCGAGGTACGAGCATTGGTATCTCGGTAACCGGAATAGATACGAACATGGTTAAATTAGGGCAAAGTTGCGCTTTAGGATGACCATCAAGATGCCATCAATTTTTTTTTAATTTCAAGGATTGCTGAGTTTTTTGGAAAAAAACGATTTTTTGAAAATCATTTTATTTTTTCCCTGGCGTTACTTTTTAGGAAATCAAAAAACTAATTGCACATTTTCATTGCCACTGTATTAGGGCTATCTAATAATATTTTTAGATTTTCAAATTATCTGATAAATTGTGAGATACAGTGGCCAACTTAATTTGTTTAAATACGGACCTGCATTTTTTATTTCTGATTTTGAAAGAACTCGGTCTCCTGAGTACAATGATATGCCACACTTAATATTTTTTTTGTTTCGGACATTTGAACATAATTTATTTAAACTAATTTCAAGTCCGGCTCTGTTTTTTTTTAGATTTTAAGATTTAATCTATTCATCGTTACAATATTGAGATAAGCTTTCAAACTTAACAATGACGTGGGGTAAAACAATGAATACGGAAAATCAAATAATGTACTAAAGGGAGATTACTTGGCATCATTTGTAAAAGTGAAATCAATACATTTCAACATTTAGAATAAAGTGTACGAAATTCATTCGGAACTTAACAAGAAGTTATGTTCAAAGAGCTATAAATAAGATTGAACAAAAAATAAATCTGTGCATTAGGGAGGGTGGTAACCCTTTCGAACATGTAGAGCATTAGAAACTAGTTTATAAAAGTTGATTTATTTATAATAACTACGATTAATATTATGAATATTATTAGATCGTACACTGAGATTCCAAATTCACAATAAAAAAAGTTAAATATAATATCTTTAAATTGCTGACCTGGATATTATTTATTTGAATCTTTGAATTGGCTCTATTTTCCTTATTCAATGTTAAATAGTACCGATAAATATTATTGCGATTTGCGATGAATATAATCAGATTAAATAATTTAAAAAACCAGAGTCGTACTTGAAATTATATTAAATAATAATTAAATAGTTTTGTTGTAGTTAAGGCACCCAAAACACAAAAAGTATCAAGTGTGGCATATCATTAAACTCAGGAGACCGAGTTCTTTCAAAATCTGAAATAAAAAATGCAGGTCTGCATTTAAAAAAATTAAGTTGGCCTCTGTATCTCACAAATTATCAGCTAATTTGAAAATCTAAAAGTACTGTCAGATAGCCCTAATAGAGCGGCTATGAGAATGTGTAACTAGTTTTTTGATTTTCCAAAATGTAACGACAGGAAAAAATAAAATTGATTTTCCAAAAAATCTGTTTTTCCAAAAAACTCAGCAAACCTTGAAATTTTTAAAACTTTTTTGATGGAATCTTGGTGAACATCTCAAGGCGCAACTTTGCCCCAATTTAACTATCTTCGTATCTATTACGGTTTCCGATATACCAATGCTCGTACCTCAAATTTGTAGCACCCTGTATAGATAAGGAGGATCGCGACCTTACAGATCTATTGTGTCCCCCTTTCTTTAGTTATAACTCATCATACAGTCTCAAGCCTTCGACAAAAGTCAGTATCTGAGACGGTTTTACGGAGGTTAGTTCTCCATCTCCGATATCAGTCGTACCAAAGTTTATGACACGAATGGTTGTCTCGGCGCACTCAGTGATGAGGTGTTTTGGTGTTTCCCCATTTTCCTCACAAAATCTGCATTCGCCATTGTTTCGTAGCTTCAGTCTACTGCCTTAACATTGCCTTCTATCTCTTGGTGGTCTGGCACCCAGGGTAGGAGGACTTTATTTTTTTTTGTCTAATTTGTTCTAAGTGCTTCTATCACGTGACGTAACAATGTACACAGATCCACACTCAGGAACCAACTTATATATAGGTATCATAAGATAAGTGAATATCTATGTAGAGATAGAGTTCCATGTAAATGATCATAAATCATAAGTCGAGAGCTCTTTTGAAATAATGGATCACCCTGTATATAGCCAGGTACAAATATACATAAAAATAAAATATCTACTTCAATAGGTTCATTAAACTTCTCAAGTTTACTTCTAAGGAAATCACATTATTCTGTAATTAAATTTTCCTTTATTTGATAATGACATTGATTATTTTTAATACACTATAATGAAAATAACAACAAAGACTTCAGCAAGTCCAAAAATTTCAAGGTCGGACTGAACTTGTTCAGTTAAATCGCTTATTTATAGAGTCCATACACTAAGGAATTTCCTCCTTTTAAAGCTGGTAAGAAAAACTGGTAGGATACCTGCAGCACTGTTCTACTTGGACGTAAACAGACATTGTACTACTTATTTTAAACAGCCTTTTTATCCGAATACGTTCAAGATATAACTCGAACGTAGAGATGTGTAAATATATCGATATATCAAAATATCGATGCATTTTTTTTAAATTATCAAGTTCTGCTTTAATACAAATAGTGTTGTTGTTGACAAGAGGAGCTCTTGCTCTGATCTCCTTGGTGATTGGTCTTTTAGTCATCAGTACTTCTCTCCTTTAGAAAAAAGCAGATATTTTCAGAGTAGATACTTTTTATGTAGGTATGTATATTACATGAAAAAACTTGACAGAAATGTTGTGCTGGAAAATATATTTGAACAAGGAGACCACGCAAAAATTGGACTAAATGTCACTCCGCATTGGTTCAATAATTTGACTTCCAACAATAACAATATTAAGAAAAACGATATCAATAAGTCTAAAATAGATGATTTCATATTGCCAAATCTGCCTGGAGATAGTATATTTTTAAAAAGTTAATTTTTCATAAAGATAACTACTTTTTATATTGTAGTCACTGTCTCACCTAATACAAGTAAAAAGAAGAACAGTATCCTTGAACTAGAACTTCCAATATCTACTGAAGTTTTACCGGTAACTATCTACCGGGTGCGTCTGAAAACTGCCTCACCACAACAACTTTTATATTTTTTTAGATAGAAAAATGAGATTTGGTATGTTAGTATATGACATAAATTAGGATTGATTGACGTATTCAATTGTTTCTGGTCACTTTCTGTTTCACCGGAAATGACTACAAGTTTTGATTTTTAAACGGCGCCCTCGGTATATCTTTACTTTATTTGACAGAAAATGACACTCTCAATAGAATGTCATATCATAATGTCAACTTTTGACATTTTCGCTTAAAAAATGTATTTTAAATTTCAAATTAGAGTACCATGGATGTGATGGTTTGTTAAAACACTAATTTTGAATCAAGGAGCTTTGAAAAAATAGATTTGATCGTCTAAAGTGTTTCGTGTCTTGTCCTGGCCGGTTAAAAGATACGCAAATCGTATTTTTAATCATATCTCAATTTTTTCAAATGGAACACGGATGGCTCATTAGCATATTTGGAAAAAACTATTTATCACGAATAATTTCGTACTGCACACTTGGTATTTGGAGTCAAATTGATGAACATGTGACCTGCATGTTACGATTTCAAATAAACCATATGCACAAATGTCAAAAGTTGACACATGATATGTCATTCTAATTAGAGTGTCATTTTCTATCGAATAAAGTAAAAAAAATACTGAGGGAGTCATTTAAAAATCGTAAGTTTTAGTCATTTCCGGTGAAACAGGAAGTGACCAAAAACAATTGAATACGTCAATCCATTCTAATTTATGTCGCATACTAACATACCAAATCTCGTTTTTTTATCTGAAAAAATAAAAAAAGTTACAGGGGTGAGCCACTTTTGAGACGCACCCGGTATATCGACCAAGTATCTTTGTCTGTTACAGTTGAGGGTTGGAACCTTTGGTGTTACACAGCAAAATAAAACACTAAATCACCACAATACACCAAAACACTTTTACTTTTACACTGGACGCGCGTTTCGCTAACCATGTTAGCATCATCAGCAGACGATTATAAACTGAATCAGTTTATAATCATCTGCTGATGATGAAAATAAACTGAATCAGTTTATAATGAAACGCGCGTCCAGTGTAAAAGTAAAAGTGTTTTGGTGTATTGTGGTGATTTAGTGTTTTATTTTGCTGATCTTTGTCTGTCATAATCCTAGATTCTCATGAGTGAGTGACATAATTGATCTGCCAGTGTGTTGTAGAAACTCCTGAGAAACTCCTATATTCGTCATAGGATCACTTCTGGTTAGTTTCAGAAACACGTTAGACATATTTTTAGTCATTAGAGTTATCATACATGCTCTAGATTCTCTGACGCTTTTCTTGTCATTATATATCTTATGATGGATAATAGGTGAGTAGTAGTACAG